GCAGGGCAGAGGCTGGAGGACCAGGAATTCAAGACCATACATACACACACACACACACACATACACACACACATACACACACATACACACATACACACACAGACACACAGACATACACACACACACATACATACATACACACATACACACATATACACACACACATACATACACACACACACATACATACATACATACACACACACATACACACATACACACATACATACACACATACACACACATACATATACACATACACACACACACATACACACACACACACACACACACACATACATACATGGAAAAATAAACAGATGGCGCTGTCATTTCCAGGGGCCTCCCCTTTCTGGGTTTCCCTCATCTGACAGGCTAACCGCAGGCTGTTTGCGTGAGGGCCCCTTGGGCAGCCCAGTGACAGGCTGTAAGGGACACAGGGGCAGTGCTGTGCATGTTGACAGTGTCTTGGCCACAGTGGTGGGCGGAGAGTGGTCCAGTTGGTTTTGCCTACCTGCTCAGGAAAGACAGGCTGTCAGAGTTGCCCAGGAACCTATTTCTGAACATTTTCCTGCAGAATATCCCCTGTAACTAGCAAAGACTGTTCTTGCTGAGCTCTGAGACATGCTGTAGTCCAGATGGGAGGGCCACTGGCATTAGCGTCTAGGTTTCAGATTTTTCTGAAATGAAGAGAAGAACCCAGAAGCAGAAGAGGATTAGCTGGAGAAAAGAAAGGATTAAGGAACACATAAATGAAGGTGCCACCACCATAGGGCCTGTCTGATGATCCCATACAGATCAGTGTCCTGAGGCGTAAACCTGACAACATCGAGATACACACTAGAGACCCTCAGTCCTCTGGGAAAAAGGAAGTTCCCAGAGGTTGTGTCACATTTTAAATGGATTACAAGCTAAAGAGAGGAAGTCTCGAGGGAACCCACTGAAAAAGAAAAGGCAGTCTCTAAAGCGCCACAGGCCACCCTGGCTGGGCAGCAGGTCCGATGCTAAAGAAATTCTCCTTTCTTTCAGCCTGTACTAAGGGACAAGTAAGGGTGCGCAGGAGTGCACGTGCCGGCTGGATTCCTGGCTGTAGGAGTGAGCATCTGAGATAAAGGCTCAGCTCGGCAGTTTGAAGGACTCTGATCTAAACCCAGTCACTCCATCCAGCTCCAGGCTCTAGTTTGTAGTTTTTCTTACCCAGAATGTAAAGGAGTTGGGCTGGACTGGCCTCCTGGGTCCCTTTGAACCCAAGATGGTATCCTGGGCTCTGGAAGACAGAAAAGCCAGTTTGTGTTAGTCAGTCTGTCTGCCCTACAACTGGAGTTAATTGTACTGTTCGCTGGTTATTGTTTGGGTTTCCTCTGGCTTTGTTCCTCATTGCTGCGCTCATTTTATTAACTTTTCTCAAGCAGTAAAACCCCAGACACAGGATCCTGCTCTTTGAGGCGGAAAATGCAAAGCTTGGCCTGCCTTCCTCAGGAATCTGCCCAGTGTAGGGGGAGAGGGTGGGAGGCACAGAGGGAGCTAGGAGGTTGGCAAGAGGCCTACCCTGGCCTGTGGTGACTCTGGAAGCCCTGAAGCCATCCTGACAGCTCACAGGAGAGTGGGCTCCAGCTCTTTGGACTTCGTGTGCACCAGGGCCATGAAGTGCTGTAGCAAAGAGCACAGCCTGTGTGTGCAGCAGGACCTGGGGCTCATGACAGCAGGTAGAAATGGCCTCTAGTGGTAACTGCCAGTGCGTGGTCTGGGAACATATACAGACTGTGCCTTCTACCGACAGAGGTGTGGCTGTGCGTCCAGTGAAGAGGCCACAGCAGCCTCTTGAAGAGAAAGGTCTTACAGTCTTAGGGTGGCTCATCGCTGAGGAAGAGCCCTTTGCACAGGTGTGTGCCAGATGGGACACTACCAAGCACAGTGGGCTAATTCACACATGCTGGGCCTGATAGTGGGTGAAGTGCTGCACCTTGAAATCCCAGCCCTCAGGAGGAAGAATATGATTTTAGAGGCCAACTTGGCATGACCCTATCTCAAAGAGCCCAGGGCTGGGGATGTAGTACAGTGGTAGTTTGCTTGGTATACACAAGGTCCTGGATTGTCCCTAGAAACAAACACACACGCACACACAAACACACACGCACGCATGCATGCTCTCGCAGACCAGGCCTCATCCGTGTGGCTAACCCAACATAAATGGAGCAGAACTTACACTGCAACTGATGCTTTGCTTAGTGGACCCCCTTTTTTTCTTATTGTTTGTTAACTTGTTTTTTAAAACAGGGTTTCTCTGTGTAGCCCTTGCTGTCCTAGAAATCACTCTGTAGACCAGGCTGGCCTTGAACTCATAGAGATCCACCAGCCTCTCCCTCCCAAGTGCTGGGATTAAAGGAGTCCTCCACCATGCCTGGCTCAGGTGACCTTCTTATTTCAGGACCTGAGAATCCTCACTGTGGCCCCAAACAACTCCCTCAGCCCACATTGGGCTTTTCTCCTCAACTTTGGAAGGTGTCCACAGGGATGCTTCAAGGTCACAGTAGTATCTTAATGTCCTGGTGATGGAGAGAGGAATGGCTGCTCCTGCAAGGGGCTGCTCAGGAGCAGGGAAATGTGGCCTTGGTTGTTTTGAGTGATGAGGAATGATCCTGGGGCTTTCTCATTTAGAGCATGGGACAGCATCCTCTTCACTCCTGTATTTAAAGCAGACAGTAGCCACCAGCAGCCCCTTTGATCTGTAAACATTGAAGCATATTGACGGCTATAATTAAACTACTCCAGAAAGGGGACTTGGTTCCTACAACCTCTACCATATAGGTTTTTAAATGCCACTTAACAAGTGTGCACAGATGCACCCACAGGTATATCCTTTTCTCTTAGCTTACCAAGATCCTATTACGTTCTTAATGGTTCCATATTATTCTTGAATCTTTAAAACTTTTTATCACATTTAGCTGTCTTGTGGGAGGGGGTCATGCTACAACACACACGTGCAAATCAGAAGATAACTTGAAGAAGTTATTTCTCTCTCTCTGCCATGTGGGTCCTGGGACTTGGCTTTGTGGCAAGTGCCTTGACAAATGAGCTACCTTCCTTTTTCTTAAGCTATATACTCTATTGCAAAAGTTGCAGTCTTTGTTCCATTTTTTAAAAACTTATATGAAGTCTTAAAACTAAGCCAAAATTTTAGCTTTTGCTCCTTTTTTAAAATAATTTTATTTTTATTTTACATTCGTTGGTGTTTTGCCTGATGTTTGTCTGTGTGAGGGTATCAGATCCCCTGGAACAGGAGTTAAAAACAGTTGTGAGCTGCCATGTGGGTGCTAGGATTTTAACAGTGCTCTTAACCCCTGAGCCATCTCTCCAGACCCCACTTTTTACTTCTGTATTCACTTGAAATGTTTGTAGACTCACGCATGCCTATGGTCAGCATGGCAGACAGGCAGCACTAACGTGTGTGGACAGGCTGGGCCCAGGGCCCCTCTTCTGTGTCAGTGCTGTGGGCTCCAGCAACCCACCTTCCTCACTCTGCCCGGTTGCAGAATGGGACAGCCTCTTCTCTCCCTAGTCTTGGCCTGTCGCCCTCTAGGATTGGGACTTGACCTAGATCAGTCCTCCTCAAAATGTATACTTCATGATCCCATGCTATGGGCTAGAATAGGCAGCACGTGGTTAAAGTGTGGAGTAAACATTTTGCTTAGAGGAGACGCCCTAAGGCATATTGTTTGGGCACAACCAGCACTGCAAAGCTGGGCCCAAGCAGCAGACACAGCTCTTGTGCTGACCCCAGGCATTCAACTGCAGAGCTAGAAGCGACAGATGTCTGTGGCATATGTACCCTTTGGCCCTGCTTGACCTACAAGTTGACTTTTGAAAGTAACTCCAGTTTCTTATGCTGCTATTTTATGTTCCCTGTGACAGACACTGCAGGTCATGCAGAGCCCCGTGGCATCTGCTACAGCCCTATACTCTACAGCCTTGACTCTGATAACCCTTCTTTACCTACTGTCCACAGAACAGATGCCTCCGTCTGCCTTCTCTATTTCCCCGCTCCGTCCTCACACACATTTCCTTCGTGCATTCAGTCAGTGATGGGCACAAGTCACCACTGAGAGTGGCCAGTGGGTGAGAAGTGTGGCAGGCTGTGAGTAGACATTCAGGGATGGGTGGCTCTCCACAGAGGGTGCCCTGAGTCTGGCAGCTCGAAGCATGCACCATATCCACATTGATGGCATCCTGGAAAGCAAGATGCAGGGCAGGGACCACATGTCTGTGAGTCACCAGCCAGAACCCAGAAAACGAGAGCCCTGAGAGGGCTTGCAGCAGAGATGCATCCACACGGGGACAGCCAGACCTTGAAGGTTTTGGTTGCTCACCTGGACTCTAGGTCACTGTGAAGCATGAGGGCTTGGTTACTCTGCAGAGTGGCCCGCCCTGGCACAGCAAACAGCATTGGACGATTTGCTCTTGCCTATGAAAAGTTGACGGGCACCATGGCAGGTTGAGCTACACAAAGGAGCAGTACGGACAGGAGGACTAACAGAGTAAAAGGGAAGCCTCTAGGTAGACATCAGGGCCCAAGTGAGCCTGGCCAGGCTGGAGGCTACCCATGTGCCTGGTGGCTGTGAGGATGGCCAGGGGCAGGAGGTGTATGCAGGAGGCTGCAGTGCCTTTCTTTGTGTCCCGCTGGGCTGGACCGTGTGCGGCTTTTCATCCCCCTTCCATTTCTTCTCACGTTGCCTCCCTCCCTTATCCAGCCCACTTCTGCCTTTCTGTGTCGCCAGCTGAAGTTCTCGGGTTGTCTGGGTGGGTACCCCACAATGCCTTTTGTTTCCTGTGAGACTGCATGCCTGGTGCAGAACACCAAAAAGCCCATCCAGCTTTGCCCTTCTGCTTGTGACTGCTGCCCCACCCAACCTCGTGCTGGACTGGCTTTCTGCCGTCATTGGCGTGCCTCCAGCTCCCTAAACCTCTTCCCTTCTCTGAGGACTGCCTCTTCCTGTTTCCAGCCTGCTGGGGTCACCTTGGTCAGCGTCCATTCTAGTCCCAATGACCAGATGCTGTGGGCCCTGGACAGCCGATGGAATGTGCATGTGCGAACTGGAATCACTGAGGAGATGCCTGTGGGGACAGACTGGGAGCATGTGCCAGGTAGGGACAATCCAACAGCTATCCCATGGTCCCTCACACAGCCACAGCTGTATTTGTCACCACAGCTCGTGGGGCCAGGCAAGACAGGAGCTGCAATTCATGTGAGGCTATTTAACTTGAGGTCTCAGCCCATTGTCGGTAAGACAAGCTGTCGCCCACCCAGTGGCCACATGGAAGTCCTTGGTATCCCGTTGGGTCTGAGATGTTCTGAAGCAGGAGCCAGGAACCCAGGCCAGCTGTGTGGGTTTGTGGGAATACAGCTTTCTCAGTGTGCAGACCCATCTGTGGCTGGGGGAGCCTGCTGGGGTCCCGGGACCACACAGTGTCACCACAAAGAAGACCTGGTGGTCAATACAATGTCTATAGAGAGCAGCACCAGGAAGGGGGCTCTGTCCAGTATGCTACAGAGATGAGCTGATACCCAGTTGCCCACAGGGTTACAGGCCTGCCAGCTGGCACTGAGTACCAGGACCGTGTGGGCCCGCTGTCCAAATGGTGACCTCGCCCGCCGATATGGCATCACAGACAAAAATCCTGCTGGGGACTACTGGAAGAAAATTCCCGGAAGTGTGTCGTTTTTCACAGGCAGGTGCTGGGGCATGGTAGACTCAGTGTCTCCTGGGGGGAGGGGTGCATGTGTGGAGAGTCTACCCCAACTCAGCTCCACATCCAAAGCCAGAGCCAAGGACAAGGCCCACCTGTGGGAGAGATGTAGACAGGGGTTCTGAAAGTCACCTAACAGGAACAGGATGCTGCACTGCTTGGGACAAACTGCTGGTGCAGCTCCTTAGACTTGTCATCCCAGCACCTGAAGGGGGCTGAGCAGGGGAGGCTGTTGGGAGTTCCAGGCTAACCTGGGGTATATAATGAGTGCCAGGCCAATCTGGGCTACAATATGAATCTCAAAAATAACCCTAAAAATTAAATTGAGTGAACAAAACACAAGTTGGGGAAATGGCTGGCTCTTCCCCATATCTGAGCCAGAATGTTACCAAGTCCAAACTGGACCCAGGACCCTTTGTCTCAGACGATAATACAAGACTGTGACTGGCTGTCATCTTTGCAGTGACTTCATCAGATGAGCTGTGGGCAGTGGGCTCCCCTGGCTGTCTTCTCCAGCGACTGACAAAGACGTTCAGCCATTCACACAACACCCAGAAGAACAGCCAGACAGCTGCCCCCCACCCGGAGGACCTGGAGGACGAGTGGGAAGTCATCTGAAAAAGAAGCCCAGGCGGCCAGCCCGGGAGGAAACAGGCTGTGTGATAGACGCTGCCGGTCCCAGTGACTCTCTTATGGACACGCCTCATCCACCAGGCTGGACACCTCACACTTGCACTCATCTGTATTTGTTTCTTTCCGTCTCATTCCAGAACTCACAGCCTCAGCCATGCACCCGGAGCTGTTGCTGTAGCAGCAGCACCTCTGACCTCTTGCCAAGGTCACCTCCAAGCGGGAGCAGTGGCTGTTGCTGCTCAGTTGCATGCACTGGTTACCTGTGCACCACAGTAAATTCTCTTCAGCAACTGCAGATCCTGGTGTGGGGGCCAACAGGGAGCCAGGAAGCGTCGGGCACCAGTCCATCCCAGAACCCCAGGCCAAACAGGTCAAAGTTCACAGCCATTGGATGTGTGCAGTGACAGTGCTGACGTTCATCCCAGGGTCCCTCACATCTGTCCGAGAGATCCAGGCCACAGTGTATGCCCCAGGCAGACATTCCAGGTGGGAAAGTACCCATCCAGGATGGGGGTGATGAACTGTGCAAGCTGTACACGCACGCACAAATCCATGCCTCCTCACATTGCCCACACTCAGGGTAGCTGTCCACCTCCTGCCCACGTCGGCCAACACAACAGCCAATCAGCCAGATAGAACACAGAGGTGCCCACATGGCCCATTTAGTGCAGCACATGGTGCTGATGAGACACAGGCGCTGAACTAATCTAGAGACATCTTTGGGAAAACATTTGACCAGTGTGCTGGTGGGCATCTCAAGCCAGGCACTTCCTCAGATGGTGAATCTAGTAATTGCCTTTTTGTTTGCTGGTTACAAACCTGAATAAGATACCTCATTTTAAATGAAATCTCACAAATTTAGAAGATAAATGTATCTTCTGAAAACAGTGAAGGTCTTTTGTTCCTTCAGGTTTATCCTAAGCCCACCTTGTCCTGGCTATAGCTTTGCCAGGGTGGCCATCCCCTATCGTACCCCCACCCAAGAGCAGCCAGTGTCTTCAGTGGGCATAGCATTGACTCCCTAGTAGGTGGGAACAGTGCCTCCTGCTCACAGCTGCCATGTCCCATCACAGCGGTCAGGACAGCGGCACTCTTTCCTCAGGCATCTGAGCTTCGGGGCAGGCTGGTCACTATGTGTCCTTCCTGGAGCCTGCTGCCCCACCCAGGAGGTCCCTGTTACTGCTCCACACTGACTGCTTTTTTCAGTCCTCCTGGACCCAGGCGGTTACTTGATGTCTGTTTTCTACTAAGCATGTGTCAGGACCCCCAGTCCCAGGTGAAGGCCCAGCCGTCGTGAAGCAGAGGCTTCCGGGTCTCAGCAATGATGAGCTACTGAGGGCCTTGACTGCACTTCATTTTATAGACTCCTTTTTATAAGAGCTCGGTGACAGCAGAGGCAGCCCCAGCTGGGCTGTACCTCTTCTGTGAACGGTGTGCCTTGCCTGGCTCCTCACAGTGGCGTCACCCCCCCCCAAGCCCATGGGACGACAGTGCAATTAAACCCGTTAAGTAGACACTTTGAAACTACTTTGAGCTTCAGTGCTTTATATGATTCTCTTTTTAGTTTCAAATTGTAGTTGTGCTTTGAGATCATGAAAAATATTAGACTTTTTGCAAATGTTGTGCCTGATGATTGAGCTGGGTGGGCCTGCAGAAAGCCCGCCAGCCCAGCCACAGTGCAGCTGAGCGCCACAGCCTGGTCTCGGGACCTGGATAGTGTTGGGCCAGCTTCCCGGTGGTATAGTCGACACACCCTCTGGCAGCCCTGGAGAGAATCCCAAAGAAGGGCTGTCCCAAGACATTACTCTTTCATGGTTGTTTTGACAGTCTTATGTAGCCCAGGCTGGCCTCCAATTCACCATGTAGCTAGCCAAGGATGGCTTTTTCTGACCTTTCCGACTCCACCTTTCAAGTTCTAGGATTACAGGTGTGCACCACCACATCCTGCTAAGATGTCAGACCCCATGCAGTGAAGGAAGTCTCGGTATAGCTCACTTTCAGAATCCCCATTGGGGTCTTCTCCTAGAGCGGAATTCTTGAAATCATGACAGTACCCACATAGACCCCCAGGTTACTGGTCAGGTCTTCTAGCTCCATGTCCCCTCTCTAGAGCCTCAATCTGTGTTCACAATCACATAGTAAACATGGGCCAGGACCTAGCTTAGTGAATCTGCTGTCCTGTGCTGATGCCACAAACTCCTGGAGTCACCCCAGCAAGTCAGGTACAGCCCAGACGATGGCCGGGCCTCACCACGAGCACCAGGGAGCACCCTGCAGTCAGGATCACAGCACCCCGCCCCCATTGCCGGACATGGCTGCTGTGCCTACCGTTTCCATTTAGCACAGAAAACCTGCCTTCGCCTTCTAGAGGGCAAGGGCTTTGTACACCCAAATAACAGGACAGCCACAGAAAACCCTTATGGCGAATTTTACGTATTCAAAATGTAGAGCCTCTAAGTCAGAAACCCACGTGGGGCTGGGGATGTGGCTTAGTGATGGACCTCCCATGCACACCACAACACAGGGAAAACCCTGCACGGACCCCGAGCATGCCTGCAATCCCAGCACGCAGGACACAGAGTCCGGATTGCTACACGCTCCAGACCAGCCTGGACCACATAGTAAAGGCCTGTCTCAAAAACACTAAAGTTAAAAGTAAACTAAGTGAGAAAGGAGCATGATTGCCACAAGTGTGGCACCTATGTTGAATGTTCACTGTAAGAGCTTCTCCAAACCAGTAGGAACAAACACGACACAGGTGGGCACAGGAGGTGAAGCGCCTCACCGAAGCAGCCCCCCGTAAGAGACCCAAAAGGCACAGCCCTCTGGCAGAGCCTCTGATGGGCCTTTAGTCCAAAAGACCCCACACTTTTGCCACCTCTGAAAATCTTTCAAGAACAAAGTCAGAGCTGGGATGTAACACATAGCCCAGGGATCCAGCACCGCCTAGCACGCTGCCGTCCCCAGGTTGGGTTCCCAGAATGGCAACCAAGAGCAAAATAGGGAAGGTGCCACTGTCGGGGAACTTGAACACGTGCCTGTAATGCCACAGGACATATGCCATCAGGGCACACTGTGGGTCCCACCCCACGGGGATCTTAGGGTGAAGCTCTTGTGGCCTGTCACTACAGCATGGCTTACAGATGGAGGAGGAGGAGGACATTGTGTGGAGGGGCACTTCTGGTGCCTCCCCCTTCAGGAGGGTCGGAGAGACAAGTTCTCACTTGGGACGAGCAGCTGGCCAGTGATTGTTTCCAAGTTGTGTCTTTTGTATCCTTTGAATGTTGAGCCATGTAAATGTATTATTTATTTCAAAACTAAATAAATTTACATTTTAGAAATCCAATTCTCTTAATTTTGCAGTATTAACAGTACTTGAGTCAAATATCACAAAATCAACACCACAGTTTTAAAAGCCTTTTGGGGCTGGAGAGATGGCTCAGAGGTTAAGAGCACCGACTGCTCTTCCAGAGGTCCTGAGTCCAATTCCCAGCAACCACAAGATGGCTCACAACCATCTGTAATGAGATCTGGTGCCCTCTTCTGGCCTGCAGGCATCCATGCAGGCAGAACACTGCATACATAATAAAATACATAAATCTTTGAGAAAAAGTACTGAATCATGGGGCTGGGGGATGGTTCATTGTAGAACACTTGCTTACTGTGGTTCCATCTCCCTAGCATTGCCCCCACACCCCCCAAAAAAACCTTAGATGCTTGACACTAATGGGCAAACAGCAGTGTGACCATTGTCTTCCCCCAAAGGAGACCAGTCATGCTCAAACCTGGACTTTCCCCCCAAATCCCAGTGTTCATGCTGGATTCTACTTACTTGTGTGTGTGTGTGTGTGTGTGTGTGTGTGTGTGTGTGTGTGTGTGTGCGCGCGCGCGCGCACGCATGTGAGAGGTCGGGTATCCTAAAGCTCAACATGAGACAGAGACAGGGTTGGGTGTCCTAGAACTCATTGTGTGCCTAGGCTGACCTTGATAGTTTTTGGTGACAGTCTCTCATAGCCAAAGCTGATTTGAAAATATCTGCATAGCCAAGGGTAACCCTGAACTCGTAGTTTGCCTCCACCCTGTGAGTGCTGGGGTTACAGGTGTGCACCACCATGCCCAGCTTTATTTGGTGCTGGCGATCAAGCCCCAGGCTTTGTAGGTGCTAGCGAGCACTGCACCCTCTGAACTATATTCCGAGCTCTGAAATCGGCTTTTTTCCTCAGATTTATCTCATGTGCATGAGTGTTTTGTTCCCATGTGATTGTGTGCACCACATGCATGCCTGGTGGCCAAGCTGGTCAGGAGGCATCAGATCCCCTGGAAATGGAGTTGCAGACTGTTTAAGCTGTCGTGTGGTTGCTGGGAATTGAACCTGGGTCTGGAAGAGCAGCCAGTGCTCTTAAACACTGAGCCATCTCTCCGGACCCTGGCCATCTACTCTGGATCCTCTGTGCTGGGATCATAGCCAAGCACTACTATAGTGGTCTGCAGTTTCTGGAAAGGGCTCCAGTGTGGTGGGGCGTATATGCTTCTGGCCTCCCTAGGAGCCACCTTGTCTGTAAAGGGTGTGAGGTAATGCTCAGCACTTCTGTCCATGCTGAGACTAGTAAAGAAACCGAGGTTAAAGCAGATGGAGTCAATGCCACGGACGCGGATGGAGGCAGCAGCAGGCCACACCGCCAGCACAGGCCACACCGCCAGCACAGACCACACTGCCAGCACAGGCCACACCGCCAGCACAGGCCACACCGCCAGCACAGACCACACCGCCAGCACAGAGCACACCGCCAGCACAGACTGCCCTTCCAAGTCCAGGCGAGGAGGCACTCTGCGATGAGCCTCCTACGCCTCTCAGTTTCACTGTCCTTCCAAATAGGCATCAGGGGCCAGAAATTTTGGCTCCTGAACTCTTAACTGGGATGCGGTACAGATCTCCTGGGGACACATCTGACATTTGATGGCTACGGAATACATCGGTGAAATTCATGAAGTGAACAAGCGAACCATGAGAAGGGCAGGCTTGATTGTATTTTTTGGAGTCACCGAAGTCACCCACCGCTAGCTGGACGTCAGCACAGGGCCTGGTAGGCTGCAGTCCCCAGAAGATCTGCTCAGCACTGCAAACCCATGGCCAGGGTGGTAATGTCAGGGGCTGGGGGCCTAGGGGACAGATAAGCCAAACACTGAGGCCACCCACCCTTCCTCTCTCAGAAACTACTGCCCGCTCGATAAGTGAGGCCTTGCTTATCAGAGGGCACCACCTCTCCAGGCCCTCTGCTTCCTGAAGTTCAGCATGACGGTACAGATCTGTGGCAGCAATCAAGCCTTCCTCTGAGGAGACCGGCTAGGCTTCTCCACCCCTCTGGTCCTGCCCCCTTCCACCTCGCACTAGTGAGGCCTCACCCAAATCAGTGTCCGAAGTGTCCCTGCCTTTGTAGCTGTCCAAGGCACAGGGGCTCGGGGCCAATTAGCAATGGTTACTACCATGACACTTATGTGCTTGTCACCATGAGCCAAGCCACCCCTCCTGGGCCTGGTCCTCACCCTATGGTACCAATTCCTCCCACAAGGTCCCATCCTGCCTCCTCCCTGATGGCCACCACAAGGCCTAAATAGTGCACTGCCCCTCCCCCAGGCCAGGCAGCACTAGTGAGGATGTCAGCAAAGCAGCAGTCTGCTTGCCTGAAGGAGACAGAAGCTCCTAGCCCTCACCAGAAGACCCCAAAGGGCTCTGGGCTAAGGACACTTGAGGACCAGTCAACACTCTCAACAGGAACCCGGCTTTCTGGGCTCCCTCAGGAGCTACTGCAAGCCATTGTTCATATCCTGCAAATAAGGAAATCCCAGATTAAGGACCTGGACCTACCAGAGGTCCAGGGGGACGAACCTTGAATGAGTCAAACTTGGGACTGGGGAAGATGTTAGCTGCTGTCACCCACAACTGCCAGGACTGAGAGTAGCTCAGGCAGAAGGGAAGCAGGGGCTCTGGCTTCTGCCAGAGGATCAGCACCTGTTGGTAACCTCTTGCCCCACTTTCTGGAATTGGTGGGGGGTTGGGAGAGTCACATTTTCAGGTCTGGAAAATGGTCTAAAATCCCTTGGCAGTAACCATGGGACCCAGAACCGAGGTGGCAAGGTCTAGGACCCCTCCTGCTCTCCAGGCTTTCCCCACCCTCCTCCTGTGGCCCTGGACCCTGGACCTTTCCACCCCTAGGCATGCTATACTCAGGAGCACTGAGCAGCAGGTACCCCAGCCAGGATGGCCACTTCGGCAGACTGCTGGCTTCTATTGCTGGCAGCACATCATGGCCCACAAGCCCATGCCACAAAGGTTGAATTTCACAGCCCAGCAAAATCCCTGGGCAGGGTGATCCGGCCCTGCTCCTCAGTCTTGAAGCTCCGAGGTGCGAACCCAGCTTTGCAGCCAGGGTCCCTTTATCTTGAAAGATGATGGCGCATTCACTAACAAGCCTCCAATCTTCAGAAAGTTCCAGCAGAAACCAGCTCTCCAGGCCTGGCAAGACACTTGCCCAGGGTGGTAACACCCAGCCGGGAGCCCCATAAACGCCATGTGACACCCACTGTGAGTGGGTGAGGAGCCCATCCCTGTGGCTGGGCAGGAGGCCTAGAAGGCACTCCTGGTCCTGATGAGAAGACATGATGCAGGGAACCCAAAGCTTGTGGTGAAGCAGGTACCATGGCAGAGACGAGCACAGCCCAGGGCTAGCACTTGCCAATCTCGACTGAGGGCAAAAGGGATGGAGGGCCAATTCCAGGCCTGGGTGGGAAACCTAGGATTCAGTGGGAGATGAGGCTACCAAACACACACAGCCTGACTCAACTCCTGCCACAGCTGCCTGCTCAGCCCTGGACACAGGGTCAAGTCCAGTTCCATGGGCCATTATTGAGCTGACAGCACAGGAGCCTGGTCACAGCTGCACAGTCCTCCTGGGCTCAGCACACTCTGTCCTCTTGCTCAGCCATGCCAGTCCCCACCCTCTGCTCCTGCCCCTCCCTTGCTTGGGTCAGCTGTCACCTTCCCCAGGACTCCAGGTCCTCACCCATATCCTTAGGGGAGCAGGGAGCTGGCTGCTGAGTGCCCTTGGGCAGGAGTGTGGAGAACCAAGGCTCTCTGATAACCTGCCTGACTTGGCAGCCCTACCCCAAATGCATGCAACAGACCAGGCGGATTCTTCCGTACAGTCAGAGATCCATATATGTAAAGTGCCATGTACAATGCTCTCAAAAACACTCTGTCCCCAGTTACAATGCCAAGGGTGCCCGAGTCTAGCTCCTGCCGGTGAGGTCCAATGGCTGCAGAAAGGGTGGCAGAGGCAGCTCATCCAAGGCCTCGGGGAAGCGGCCAGGTGAGATGGTGGTGACCAGCACCTGCATGGCTCGCACAAAGAGGGAGGGTGGCGCCAGCCCTGCTAGCCACTGGAATTTGTCCTCACCCAGCAGCCTTTGCCAGCGTAGCCGGTCTCCCAGCAGCTCACATCGAGCGGGGCTGGCGGCACCCACTTTGGTGTACAGCACCAGGAGGTCAAGCAGCAGCAGGCGGCGCTGACACAGCTCCTCAGGTGGAGTGGTGCTGGTAGTGGCCGCGTTGCCGGTGGCAGAGGAGGCCACAGCAGCAGCGGGAGCTGAGCTGGCGTCCCGGCCAAGCTGGCGCAGCAGCAGCTCCAGTGGTGTAAAGCCACCACCGTCTCGCAGGCCTGGAGAAGCTCCGTGGCCGAGCAGCAAGAAGAGGCACTCGGGGCGTGCAAGCTCACAGGCCACGTGCAGGGATGTGCCACCGCCCTCCACGCGGCTGCAGCCACGTCGGTCCAGGAGGCGCATGCGCTCCTCTAGTGGGAAGTCCCGCACGGTTCTCAGGATGCAGCGCAGGATGCCCACGCGGTTGTAGCGCACCGCCAATGCCACGTGCGGTCCGGGCGCGGTGCAACAGCGGAAGCCCGCGCTAGGTGGGGCGAGCGCCCGCCGCGGGAAAGTGGCCAGCAGGTAGTGCGCATAGGCCTGGTGGTCGTGCACGAGCGCGTACAGCAGGGCCTCCGACGGCGAGTAGGCGGCCGCGCGCCCGCGCTCGTCCCAGTGGAAGACCTCGCTGGCACGCATGTCCTCCAGTAGCCACACGGGCAGCAGGTCGCGCACGGCCTGGTAGAAGGCGAAGGACGATTTCCGGCACTGCTTCTGTACCCGCAAGCGATTTGAGCCGGAGCCCGGGCCCTCAGGCCCGCCATTGGCACTGCGTCCGGGCCTGGTGTCCCACGGCATGCTGGCCTGGGGGGGGGGGGTTGTCTCCTGGCCTCAAGGCATGGGTGGCATCACCCAGACCAACCTGTGGGGCGAAGGGGCCAAGTGAAAGGCTTTGGTCACAACTCTCTCGGCCTGAGAAATGGCGCCCACCCTCACACAGACCTTGGTTCTTTGTTTTGTTTATCTGGTTTTTTGAAGCACGGTTTCTCTTTGTTGCCCTGGCTATGCTGGAACTCTCTGGAACTCTCTGGAAACCAGGCTGGCCTCGAACTCACAGAGATCCGCCTGCCTCTGCCTCCGGGGTGCTGGGATTAACGTCCCTTTTCCCTCCCAGCCTCGGCTGCCCCCAGTTCTGTTCTCTCCTAAGCCCAGAACCATGCTTGAGTTTCTGCATTTGCACCCGTGTCTCTAGCTTCTTCTAGAGAAGGCTGGACCTGGTGGAGCCTTCAGTCTCCCAACCTTCTGCCTCTCTGGGACCTTAGAGAAGAGGAGCTGTTCACACCTGAGCCAGGTCCCTCCAACCGCAAATAAAGAGGAATCCATGTAACACCCAAGACCACTCAGGCCCAATTACAAGCTGAACCCAACTCCTTCTCCCAGCCCCAAGCGCAGCCAACTCCCCTTCTACCCTGACCCCGGCGGAGCACCCCGAGGGCTTCTTTCCAAGGGGGTAGTGGACATAACTACCCAGTCAGACCTACCTGGTTCCTGCCGGCGGCCCTGGATTCAACAGACGCGGTTATTCACTTTGCCTCACCAGCAAGAAGAGTGGTGGCCCGTGGCTGGCAGTGCGCCCCACAGCCAGACTTGGGGAGTGGCTCTGGCTCCTTCATCCACAAACAGTTTTGCTGCCCATCAGGAATGAGCTCCTGGGAGGGAGAGAAAAGGTGAAGTCAACCGAGGGACTGGAGCGTTCACCATCCTGCAGCCACCACATGAGGTCGGTAATGCCACCCCATCTTTCAGTAGGGGACAAGCTAGTCCAAGGTCAGTCTCCACGTCAGGCTGGGCCAGGATAAGAGCCTAGGTCTTCTGCGTTCTGCCTGGTGCCCATTCCAGACACTGCAGACC